GGGGACAGCAGGCACGGAGGTGGGGCAGCGGGGCACAAGGGGGACAGGGCGTGGGGACGGGGCAGCTCCGGCCACGAGCCCCGTGCCCACCAGGTGCTGGAGGCCGCAAGGGGGGAAGGTGCCCTGGGCAGGGCTGGCCTGTGGCTGGCTGTGTCCCCCCGTCCCCAGGGCAGAGGTGGCCTTGGTGACAGTGGGCAAGGCTGCACCGACCGCCTTGGGGGCCCTTATGCTCCCTGGCCTCGTGCCGTGGAGGGCAGTGTCAGCTGTCCTCCTCTCCTCCAGCGTCTTCGGGGTGCCGCTCTGCAGCCACAGGGCCTCTGCCGCCAGAGGTGGGGCTGGGGGCTCCGCGGTAGCCCCCGGCCCCAGCGCCGGGCCCCCACGCCTGTGCCCCCCCGCCCCACTGCTCCCTGTCCCCTCGCCCACCTGTCAGCGCTGGGCTGGGGTGCTCCAGGAGGGGCGCGAAGGACCAGCACGAGTGCTCCTCCTCGGTGCCTGGGGGACGGCCCTGCGGTCACTCCTGCCCACTGTGCCCCACTGCCCCGTGCACTGCCAGGACCCCCAGGGACCAGGGAGCTCTGCGTGCCTGGACACCTACCAGGTGCTCTGAGCTGCACCCTGCACGCTGCAGTAGGTGCTGCGCGCCTGGAGGTACTCGCTGGCCCTATCGCTCAGGTTGGGCAGCTGGAACAGCAGCTTGGGGGTGTCCAGCTCGTCACACAGGTCAACGACGTCTGGAAAAGCTGGGTGGGGTGGGCTGCCGGCGTGGTGAGCCAGGGACCCCCACTTCACTGCTGCGCACACGCCACAGGGAGCCTTTGCAGCATCCCACTGGAGGTGGGACAAAGCGCTGGTGCTGCTGCAAAGGCCGGGGGGAGCTGCAGCCCCGCAGCCAGGGCTCAGCAATGTTGGGGACCCCCACCATCCTCCCCATGTAGGAGAGCAGCCATGGGATGGTGCAGTTGGTGTTGGCCAGAAAGTTCTGGTCATCTGCAGGGAGAGGGGCGGTGGCTGAGGGCAGCAGGCGGCCCTGTCAGTGGCCACAGAGACCGGAGGCCGAGCCTGCCACCCGGCGAGGCCACAGCACGTCCCCGCTGTGCTGGGGAGCAGGCACCCGTGGGATGGCCAGGAGGGGACTCACTCCCGTGACTGATGTAGATGAACATGCTGCCACTGTGAGCCCAGGGTGATGGGACTGGGATGGTGGGGCTGGGACTGCAGGCTCCACCAGCACTTCCCCCAGACTCTGCAAGACAAGCCCAGACAGGCCCCCAGCGCAGCAGAGCTTTATTGCATCGGGAAACCCAGGCACAGATGAAGGATCGGCGAGGCCCTGGGGAACAGCTGGGCTTGCCCAGTGCCCCAGGGGCAGCAGCCTTTGGGGCCGGGGGTGACAAGGGTGGCTTGGCCCCTTTGGCCCTTGGCGCTCCTCAGCCCCAGTCTCCCCATCGGTTGGCCGGTGGCTCCTGCCTGCTCGGGCTGGGGGTCCTGGGCATTTGGTGAAGGCAGGGTGGGAGCTGGGAGCAAGGTCTGCGGGGCAGCGAGGTTTTGGGCAAGTGGGGGTGCAGAGAGTGTAGGGTGCAGGGGTGCAGGAGTGTGTCACACTCCCGCGTGGCTGTTCTTGGTGGGGCTGTGCTTGCAGGGGGCAGCCAGGGCCCCGGGCATCACAGATGGTAGTTGCTGTTCTCCCAGAGGGGCTCATACATGTCCTTGGGGGGCAGCTCGCTCACGTAGCAGATGTTCTCGCTGTAGTTGGGCTTGAAGCTCTCCATGACGTCTTTGGGGACTCCAGCCCATTCCTCCAGGGAGCAGAGCGGGGTGAGAGGAGCCACCACCCATCCCAGCCCCAACCCCGTGGGGCAGGGGGTGACCCTGGGGCAGGGGTGCCCACAGCCGCCTTACCTGGAAGTTGCCGTTGTGGGTGATGAAGAGCTCGTCAAAGTTCTTGCTGGGGTTGGGGATTCGGGGCATGAGGATGACCCACACCCTGTGAGGGAGAGACGTGTCGGAGGGGAAGAGCCCCAGCGCTGTTACCTCCCACCAGCCCACCACGCTCACCTTTCCATGCGCACCAGCAGGACGACAAGGACCAGCAAGAGCAGGCAGGAGGCAACAGGGATCAAGACTGTGTGGATCCAGAACCAGTGCAGCTGCTCCTCCGCGGCGTCTGGAAAGAGCCGGGGTGACACGGGCCATCCCTCGCCTGCTGAGCCCCACCTGCCCCAGCCCGTCCCACCGCACCACAGCCCCCAGGACCTACCCTTGCTGGTGGAGTTGCTGCCCCAGACCACGGGGACACTCCACTCACTCCAGAGCTGGGTGTTGCCGCAGTAGCTGTTGATCTTGCTGCGCACATAGAAGGTGTAGTACTTCTCGTAGTCCACGCTGGGGAAGGAGAAGATGTCTCCTTTCACCCGGTGCTCCTGCAGAGAGACGTGGGCCATGAGATGAGGGCTGGCGCTGCCGTGGAGGCTGGTGCACAGCTCATCCCTGGGCACAACCGCAAGGGTGCCGCACCCAGGGGGCTCTCACCGTCCAGCTGGTATCCTTGTTGCTCTTGTACTTGACAGCGTGTTCCAGACAGTGGGCTTTGGGGTACGGGGAGTTCCAGGTCAGCTCCAGCTGGTTGCTGCTTGTGTTACGGATGGTCAGGTTGACAGGCGCCTCCGGTTTCACTGCGAGCAAGGTACAGGTGATGCCCGGTGAGTGCCATCCCCACACCCCGGTGGCCCTGCTGCCAGCCAGGACGTGATGTGGCTGCCCTGGGGACCCACAGCCCCGCAGAGGAGAGCGGGTGCCTCCCACCACTCCGTACCCAGGTCCTGCAGTTCCATGCGCTCACTGGGGATCTCCAGGGTCCTGCCACCAAGGCTGGCATTGACGAGGACACGGAAAGACTGGAACTGGATGATCTCGCTCTGGTTGAAGTGGCAGCCAACGCTGATGCCCTGATCCTGCAGGTAGTGCTTGCACTCCACCACAGGAGACCTGTTCTCATACCTGTGCCGCAGCGGGTTACCAGGGCTCCCCAAGACCCCGCACACCCCAGCCTTCTCTGGGACCCCTCTCCCCAGCACATCCCATCCCACTTGCCCCAGAGACAGAGCCCCCCCAACCCTGGGCTCGGGGAAGAGGAGCAGGCTGATGCTGGGACCAGCAATGCTGGCAGTAGCCCCGTGCACAGGGACCCACCGCTGGACACCCTGCTGTGGGGCTGGCCGTGGGGTAGGGGCACCTACCAGTAGTAGAGAGAGTAGTTGGCTGTGAGCGTCTCTCTGCTCCCCCACGTGCAGGTCATGTACTCCTCGTTGAAGAGGACACACTCCACCCCTGCAAGGGACAAACACCACTGGGCACCGCGGTGGTGGGCAGCTGCACCAGGGCGCAGGGGTGCACCAGCAAGATGCGGCACGTGCCAGGAGTCCCTGCGCAACCCCATCAGCCTTCCTCCGTGTGAGCCAAACAAGCCCAGCTCTTCCTGGCAGAGCTGCGGTGCAGCCTGCCTGCAGTGCCAGGCCCTCACCATCCTGTTCGCACATGCTGTGTCAGTGATGCCTGGGCTGCCAGCAGCCCCACGTCTTCCTCCGAAGGACTGCTGGCCAAGCAGCTGTCCCTCCCACAGCCGTGCCATCGACTTCTCTTGCTTCAGACATGCTGTTTCACCCTGATTCCTCCATCTGCTCCCCTTAGTCACCCCGCGGCCGCTGTTTGCAGCTGTGCACTGCGGGACAGGACAGAAACCCCTCCCTGCCAACCCATTTTGCTTGTTCCATGAGAAAATCAGGGGGGTTCTGGGATTTGTGCCTGATGTCTTCATCCTGACTAAATTAATCTCGCTGTTACCCTTTTGCGAGGTGCCCGTGTGTCCCTGTGTCTGGGTGGTGGGGGCTATGCTTGGGCTGTGCTTCCCACCACAGCCCCTCTGCCACGGGGCCAGGGGCCGAGCCCCGGTGTTTTGATCTCTGCAGGAAACACCGCTGAGCCCCGGGAGGCTGAGCAGCCGCTCCAGGCGTCTACGCCGGCTCCTCTGCCCCCTCCTTCCGCCGTGCTGTGCCAGCCTGGTCCTGCCCACGCAGCCGGAGGCCACATCCTGGGCTGGCTGGGGGCTGCAGGGCCACCGGGGCCGTGCTGGTCCCCGCGCTGGGCATTGCACCGCAGTCTGCTCTGGCCGCCGCTGGCACAGCTCACTGTGGGACAAGCTCCTCTGATGGGCTGAGGCACTTCGCAGAGCCCTTGCAAGTGCCAAACCAGCTGCTGGCGGCTGAGAGCTGTCCTGGAGGCTCCCAGAAAATGTGATTTTTCCCCCTAAAAATCAGGCAATGGGACACCGGGTCCCTTCCGAGGTCCAAACCCATCAGCCAGTGCCGCGGGGACAGGAGAAAGCCAGAGCTGGGCTTTCCTGGGTTGTAGTGTAATGTGACACAGCAACAGGCGCTGCGCTCCAGCTGTTTCAGCGCATGGAGATGGAGGGCACCTTCCCAGCAGCCCAGGAAGTCCAGAGGAGCTGCGTTTCCACGGAAAGCCAGTGTTTTACTGACAGCCAGCCAAGAAGTGGTTTTTTTCTTGGAAAATGACGGCTGGGGTGAGGGTGCTGGGTGGAAAGAGGAGCCACTGTCCCCCATCCCTTGTCCCCTGCCTGCGCACAGCACCGCTGACGTGACTGGGGTGAAAGGGCAGCTGGCGCAGATCCGCCGGCTGCCACCCTGCCTGGCTGATGCACGGGGCTGATAGCATCTATGCATCGCATCCCGCCGCTGCCCACCACCCTGGCCCGTCACGGGGGACCCCCATGGCCAGGGTCCCTCCCAGCAGCATTGCCTGCACGGCTGGCAGCCCCAGGGCCAGCAGAGCTGTGGAGCTGGGAGCCATGGGGCCAGTAGAGCCATGGGGCCAGGAGCTGTGGGGCCAGGAGAGCTGCAGGGCTGGTAGTCATGGGACCGGTGGTGCCAGCGATGCTCCAACGCCAGGGCGGGAGCCAGGACACCCAATGGGGCTCGCTGGCACAGCCCGGCTCTCCCAGCAGCCCCACTCCAAGGGGCCATGTAGGTGCCAGGGGTCATGGAGTGCATCAAGGGGTCGCGGGGTCTCTGGTGCACATCCCAGCAGCTTGCCGGCCCACGTGGCCCCACGTCCTGACCTCCACGCCCGCCATCACCGGGGAGCCACATCCCCCAGCCCCACCACCCATGGGACACTGCGGCTTCCTGCTCCCCCCCGGGGTCCATGTGCCCCCTTACCTGGGGGGCTGTGGGCAGCAGCAAGGCAGGGGCTCAGGCCACAGACGAGGAGGAGGATGGGTGTGAGGAAGGTGCCGGGCACCGCCATGGCAGGGGAAGCCGGGGGGGGGGGG